CTGTCGGATGTGTTGTCAAAGCCACAATTGATATGTGAGAAGTGCTGGCAATACTTTTCAGAGGACATACTCTACAACATTAGAAGAAACCTCAATGACCCTGGTATGTTACTAAACCGACTATTCAATTTTGACTAAGTTTACATGCATGAGTTTTTATCATATACTCTCTTCGTCCCGCTATTAACTTCCTACTTTGACCTACACACATATTTAGGAAAAAATTGACTTTACTATTTAGACACTGTTTGACACTGTTTAAACACTGTTTGGCACTGTTTAGACATTGTTTTGCACTGTTTGACACTGTTTTGATGTAGGATAACTTTCCATTTAGGGAAATGAGAAGATGATTTTGGGACGGCCCAAAAAGGAAAGCAGGAAATTAATAGCGGGACGGAGGGAGTATATTACTAATATTTGTAATAAAAATATGTATATAGATTACAAATTTTAATTAATATTTTATTCTTATAATAGATTTTAGTCTATTAGGATGAAAATTCTTCACATATTTTTATAGACTGCAATTTACACCCTGTTTTCATACATTAAATATGAAAATAATTCTATCAAAGCAGCTATATTTTACTTTGATGCATTAAAAGGAATGAACTAAAATGGAATACATATTTTATTTATTAAATGTTTATGGATTGTTTAAATAAATACTTAAATGACATAAAACATTTATTACAATGAGATATAATATGACCTAGAGTATTAGGATGTTTTTACTTGCACTTACTTCATTCCCAGAACAGATCAAAGCAATCCACACTTCAATTAGTTGATTCAATTCTAACTGAGTTTCCGTGCATGAGTTTTTATCATATTACAAATATAAACAATAAAATATATGTATGTAGTGTTGGAAATATGAAATCTGAAATTTCTGGCATAGATGTCAATACTATTGTAGAATTTCGTGATGCTACTTTCTTTGAAGATGTTTTTCCAATGAAAACGGGTGTGCCCCAAAATACTTCTTTTGAAAATCAAGAAACTACATTTAATTCAATTCCTGATCAAGTGGAAAAGATGACAAATGTGGGGGTAGAATCTGGTAGTTCTAGTCATATTGATTTTGAATCAAATGATCTAGATGAACCGAGAAGGAGCAAACGAGCTAGAATCACTAAGGATTTTGGAAGTGATTTTATCACTTACAATATTGAGGGTGATCCAATTTCCTTCAGAGATGCAATGGCCACGTCTGAGGCCATGTATTGGAAGGATGCCATTAAAAGTGAAATGGACTCCATTGTTCAAAATGGAACATGGGAGCTTGTTGATCTTCCTCCCGGGTGTACTACTATTGGATGTAAATGGATTTTTAAAAAGAAGTTAAAACTAGATGAAACCATTGATAAATATAAGGCCATATTAGTTGCTAAGGGTTACAAGCAAAAAGAAGGTATTGATTTTTTCGATACATATGCTCCGGTTGCAAGAATGACCACAATAAGAATGCTTATAGCAGTGGCATCCCTATATGGTCTTAAAATTCATCAAATGGATGTTAAGACAGCTTTTCTTCATGGTGACCTTGAAGAAGAAATTTATATGGATCAGCCTGAGGGATTTGTGGCAAAAGGCAATGAGAGAAAAGTTTGTAAATTGGTTAAGTCTTTATATGGACTTAAGCAAGCCCCTAAGCAATGGAACGAAAAATTTGATAAAATAATTTCTTCATTTGGATTTACCCTTATAGATGCTGATCAAAGTGTTTATTGTAAATGTAAAGGTGATGTAAGTATTATTTTATGCCTATATGTTGATGATATATTATTATTTGGAACTAATGATAATATTATTTTTGAGACTAAGTCATTCTTAAAAACAAAGTTTGAAATGAAGGATATGGGGGTGGCGGAAGTAATTCTTGGGCTAAAGTTGACTAGATCAACCGAAAGCATTTCTATTTCTCAGTCTCATTATATTGAAAAATTAATTGAGAAATTTGGATTTAAAAATAGTAGAATTGCTAAAACACCCTATGATCCTTCTGTAGCTTTGTATAAAAATGAAAGTGGTGTTCCTGTGTCTCAATTAAAATATTCTCATATGATTGGTAGCTTGGGTTACTTAGCTAACTGTACTAGACCTGATATTGCATTTTCAGTGTCTAAACTTAGTCGGTACACTTGTTGTCCAAACAGAACTCATTGGGAGGCTTTAGATAGAGTATTTAGATACTTGAAAGGAACTATTTCCCTGGGTTTGCATTATGGTAAATATCCTCCTGTTCTTGAAGGATATAGTGATTAGGGGTGGTTCGGTACGGTATACCGAATATTTTAGCTCATACCTTTACCATACTGTAAATTTTCGGTATGCAAAAATACATACCGTTACCATACCGAAATTTCGGTATACCTTGTTTCGGTATACCAAAATTTCGGTACTGTATCGGTAAATTATCATGATTTAACATAACAAATTATTATATGTCAAATAAAATATAGAATATATGTGTTAATAATGATATACTAAGATCATTAATCAACCCCAAAAAAATCATTAATGAAATTAATTCTAAATTACCAGTGATAACCTATTGGTGTTCTATTCAACTTTGAACGAAAAATATTATAAATATATTTAGATATTTCGACACATAATATATGAAGATAACATCACATTCTGCTAAAATAATTTAAACAACATAAATATAATTAAAAAAGACCGCTTGCCAACAAAAAGTATAAATAATTCAAGAAACATGGATATAAAGTCATTTATCCTTCAATTAATGTTGTGTTTCTAGTTATTTTTATAATTTTAAAAAAATTATTGGCTTGGAATTACGGTATGACGGTATACCGGTATACCGTTTATTTTCAAAATATATACCGATACCATACCGAAATAATTCGGTACGGTATCATACCGTACCAAAAGTGTCGGTATACCAACCATTTCGGTAAATTCGGTATTTTTTGATATGGTAAGTCCGGTATACCGAAATTTCGGTATTTTCCCCCACCCCTAATAGTGATGCAAGCTGGATTGCTAAAAACTCCGGGAGTTATGGGTGTACCGGGTATGTGTTTACGTTTGGTGGTGGGGCTGTTGCTTGGAAGTCCACTAAACAAACTGTACTTTCTCGGTCTACTTTTGAGGCTGAATTATGTGCGTTGGATACTACAGGAATTATGGCTGAATGGTTTAAGGGACTAATGTTCGAGTTACCTATATTCAGCAAGCCAATTCCACCTATTTGTTTGCATTGTGATAGTATGAGTACGATTGCAAAAATTAGGAGTACCAAGTATAATCAAAAGACTAGGAGACACATTCAAGTTAGATTAAAAACTATACGGAAACTTGTGTCTCAAGGGGTGTTTGCTGTTGATTTTGTTGGATCCAAAGATAATACAGCGGACCCGTTAACAAAAGGACTTGATTTAAATCAAGTGATAAAATCAAGGTTAGGAATGGGACTGAAACCCAATAATTATTCATCTACGGTAGCAACCCAACCTATATGAGTGGAGATCCCACAAAGTAGGTTCAATGCGGTATAAACAAATCGTAGAGTGAATTGTGCATCTCATTAAAATAATCTTATGAGTTCTTTTCCTTGATAAGCCTTAGAGATGCTGAAATTGCTAAGTTAGTAAGAGTTAAAGACTCTGAATGTGATCAAGCTTTAATAGCGGGGTGTTAGCAATGCACCCTTGGAGATGCCCAACTATGAGAATGTTATTGTGTGGCCGCAATAAGAGAATAAGGGTTAATTCTTGATGACATTCTTGAGACAGGATCAGGACGCATGGCCGTAAAAGCGTCACCCCTATAGATCGTTGCCATTGCCGTTAGTGTGTTGCTTTTATTCCATGCCAACACAATCAAGGTTCGAGTTCAAGAACTCTGTTCACTCAGTTCCTGTGGGGGTTAGGGATAAGAGCTTAGAAGATGGTTCAAACCGGAAGGTACCATATTCGAAAGCACACTATGTGTTTTAAAGTTGAGTCTACAACTATGGATTTGTAGGGGATTGTTGGAAATATGACGAAAAATTATTTTGAGTGGTCTCTTTTTTGGGTCCTAGGATATATTCGTAATATAAAAATATGTAATGGGAGTGACTTATTATCAAAGTACAACTTATACACTTGGATATATTTCATTCGGTGATTAGAATCCATAGTTGTAAAAGTTGTAAAGTGAAATGTCAAAATGGTAAATTATTGTCCTATATCATAAATAGATGGTCTATTAATAAATTATTATGTGATAAGGAATATCATTCAAGTATCACATATGGTAGCTTGAAATATTAGTCCATACGTTCAGGTCTGCTCGGGATGATCTAAAAGTGTGGGAAAATATATCAAGTTAAAAGGCCATTTAATTTGTGGACAACAATTTTGAAATGTTTTATTATCTTTGACCGTAACGATAATAAAATTGATGGCTTTTAAGCTTCATTCGGAAGTTTCAAACATGAATTTGAATTACCGAGGGGGTTGATAATAGCTTGGTCAAGAGTTGTTAAGGATCATTAAAAATTGTGATCAATGAAACAACCGTTACCTCCATTTTGCATGTGTTTATATTGTTGTTCTGATTCCAGAAGTGATATAGTGCGCTGATCAATCTCCAGAGTCCATACGTACAAAGAATAAGCAAAAGCACTCACTGCTAGTTTCTTTTTCTCTTTCCCCAAACGCTTCAACTAAGCAGTAATAGAAAAAGAAGCACTCACCCATTTCATTCTTCTAATCATTTCGTTTCTCTAAAGTGTTGATTGGTTTTGAGTGCAAACCAAAGTTCTATTCGGGTAGCAGTCTTTTATTCTTTCATTCCAAGTTCTATCTCTATAATTGGCAAATTTGGCAACGGTAGAAGGTTTCAGTCAAGGTAGCTACGAGCCTGAAACGTGGTAGGATTATCCTGGGAGCGAACTAGTCAGACCCGTCCGAATAGCTATCGGGATACGGGGGCTATCTTTCTTCAAGGCCAGTCCGTTTTAACGGGCGATCCTGCGATAAGCTTTCTTATCTTTACTATTTTTTCATTTCAATTCATTCTAATTATTATTATTATTTTCTTTTCTTGCATTTGGCGGTTTGTCTGGTGATTTGATTTAAACTCGGGATTTTTATCTGGCTAAACTCGCAATTTTAATATCTTTGAAATAACATGTAGAGTACCAATTGAGCACAGATGAGGTGAAAAAATATTGCTTGATCGAGATTGAGATGTTGTTGAGGAAAAGGTGCAGATCACTGCGAGATTTTGTGGGAATGCCAATGTCACCTGAATCCGATATTCCTTCCATTGAAGACACCATAATTCATGAAGATTTGAAGTATGACAAATGTGCTATGGCTGAGACACATGCAAAATTATTGAAAAACATGAATGAAGAGCAAAGAAGTGTCTACGATAAAATCATGGAATTTGTTGACGGGACGAGTGGAGGTGTCTTCTTTTTGTATGGTCACGATGGCACTGGAAAAACATATGTATGGAAGACTTTATCAGCAGCAATAAGATCACGAGGTCAAATAGTGTTGAACGTTGCATCGAGTGGGATTGCATCACTTCTTCTTCCTGGAGGACGTACTGCGCACTCAAGATTTGCTATTCCACTCAATGTTACTGAAGACTCAACCTGCAATATAAAGTGTGGTAGTCCGTTGGCTAAATTGATTCAAATGGCCAAGTTGATTATTTAGGATGAGGCCCCTATGATACACATGTATGATTTGCCCACAATGAATTTAATTATTATCTATTTCATTAAATTACAATACAATTTTGTTAAAACAAAAAATAGTAGTAATATTTATATTATTATACGTAATAAAATTAGTTTGGTTATTATATTGTTTTTTATCATCATCAACATCATGAATTTCTTCTTAAAGTATTATTATGGATACAACTATTATTAGTATTATTATTTAGTCAAGATTATCTTATTGTTCTAATTCTTAATATTAATTACTAAACTTTAAAATTTTCACTCATAAAGCTAAACAAATTGCGCCAAAAAAGGGTTGTTAAAAAAAGGTTGCAATAGTAACTTTAGTCATGTTAACTTATATTCAATTTTTACAATTTAGTTACAATTGTTGTAACTTTTATTCCTTTTTTAAATATGTTTTAGAAAAAAGTAACATTTTTGAATTAACTACATCTTTTAAGAGATTATATGTAATCATCATTATTGATGCGTTTAAATGGGTCTTAATACTATAAATCTATTGTATTGTTATTACCTTTTTATATAAATTTCAATAGGCATTGCTTTGAAGCTCAAGATAGAAGTATGAGAGATATATTTTCTTGCTCTCATGGTGGCAATCCAAATTTGCCTTTTGGTGGAAAAACGATTGTTTTTTGTGGAGACTTTATACAAGTTTTGCCTGTCTTTCCTAAAGGCACAAGACATGATATTGTTCATGCATCTTTGAATGCATCACATTTGTGGCAGTATTGTACAGTGTTGAAGTTAACAAAAAACATGAGACTCAAGAACTTCACAAATGAATTGGCCAATCCGAGTATTTTGAAGCTTTTTGCCGATTGGATACTGCAAATCAGTGATGGTGTTATGGGAGGGAGCGTTGATGGAGAAGCGGAAATTGATATACCAGAAAATTTTCATGTTCCAGTAATGTCTGATCCCATTGAATCCATTGTCAACGCTACTTATTCAGATTTTTTGAAGAACATGAACAACATCTCATATCTTGAAGGGAGAGCGATTCTTGCATCGACAATTGATGAGGTAGATAAGGTCAATGATTTCATGTTGTTGCATAACAGCTCAGAGGTAAAGACATATTTCAGTTCAGATTCAGTGTGTTCCTCAACCTCAGACAATGAGCTCCTTCAGGAAATTCATTCTCTCGAGTTCCTTAACGGCATAAAGTGTTCTGGTGTTCCAAGTCACGCGTTGAAGCTAAAAGTTAGTGTACCGGTGATGCTCATGAGGAATATAGAGGGCTGGCTTGTGTAATGGCACCCGACTTTTAGTGACAAAACTTGGTAAACATATTATTGAGGATGTTTTTACTAGGACTGTAATCTGTCCCAAACCAGATCAGACCAAACTAAACCAGACCAGACCAGACCAGACCAGACTTGGATAGTTATACAAATACAAAGAGATAAGACTAGACCAGACCAGTTCAGACCAGACCAGACCAGCAAATTACAGTCCAAGTAAAAATATCCTGAGGCACAGATGATGTCTGGAACTAATGCAGGTGAGAAATTTCTTATCCCCGGGATTAGTCTAACCCCGACGGATGTGAGGCTACCTTTCACATTTATGCGTAGGCCCGCAATTCCCCTTGATGGTTAGCTATGCAATGATAATGAACAAGAGCCAAGGACAATCGTTAGAAAATGTGGGCGTTTTTCTACGACGTCCAGTTTTTACGCATGGGTAGTTATATGCCGCAGTTTTGAGGGTTACAAGTCCGTCTGGATTGAAGTTCGTCTATAAAGAAGTCTTCAATTATTTGTAAATTTTGTGCTTATTAAACTTCAAATATTTTATAATATACATTTATTGATGGTTAATCTCATTCCGTGATAAATTATAATAGGGAAAATGGAAACTAATAATCCAATCTTTTAGCGGTCTTCTTAAAATAGTCCCACCTTTTGATTATTCATGAATAATCCAACCTTTGCACCTCATCTTCATTCACTGGTCCCTGACCGGTTGATGACCTACTATTCCAAGTTATTTTCTTATCTTTGCAAACCATTATACCATAAATCTCACCTTTCACAAAGATAATATTTTGCAAAGATAAGAAAATAACTTGGAATAGTAGTTCATCAACCGGTCAGGGACCAGTAAATGAAGATGAGGTGCAAAGGTTGGATTATTCATGAATAATCAAAAGGTGGGACTATTATAAGAAGACCGCTAAAAGGTTGGATTATTAGTTTCCATTTTCTCATTATAATATAATTTTTGATTAGATTTAGAAGTTGAGATTTATAATATTAGTACTTTACACCCCATGCAACAAACGGGTGAAGTACTAGTTAAGACAAACAAAAGGAGATCAGAGCAATCTAGTACTTGAATTTTGTGTATAAGAGCCGTTTGTAACATTCAAATCGGTTGAATGTGCTGAATTTGATTAAATGTTAGCTCAAAAGGCCGAATTGATTGAATGTGCGGAACTATATATGTTAAATTTGTCTTTAAAATCTATTTTCATAAAAAAAATTGAAAAAACTATATATGAACTAGCTAAAATGATAGTTTATAGTAACTTTAATTGATTCAGTCAGAAAAGTAACTTCAACCTTATTTATTTTTATGGAAAACTGTCAATTTGATCCTCGTACTATGACGAAAATGTCAATTAGTTCCTCACACTTTAAACAAAGTCAATCAAATCTTTGAACTTTGATAAATCTTTCAATTCAATTAATTAGCAGGTTATCTGTCGTCTCACCAGGTTACCCGCTGACGTGGCGCACATGAGTCGGTTCACATGTGCGCAAGGTTATTGAAATATGACTGACTAGGCTAGCACGTGTGCGTCATGTCAGTAAAGTCACTGCTGACTGGGTTGCCACATGTGCACCATGTCAGCAGGTGACATGCTGACATGGCAAATAACCTGCTAGTTGACTCATATTAGAAACAAACAGTCATATACCAACATTAAAAAAGTGTTGGTATAGACATGTAAACCGCTGGCATAGACATCATTTACACAATTCGAAAAATGTAGGTATATAAATAGTAATAACCAACAGGAGTGAGCTGCTGTAAGTATAGCTTTCATATGACAATCTGTTTGTAATGTCTATTGAACGTTTTTCAAAGTTCGCGGATTTGATTGATTTTTTTTTAAATATGATGACCTAATTGACGTTTTCTTGATATTACGAGAACCAAATTGACGGTTTGATAAAATTTAACGTTTATTTTTTATTATTATGTACGTAACTCGTGAAATAAAAAATTACATCATAAAAAAATGGCTTACACTCCACACAATCTCAAAGACAGTCTACGCATATTACATCACTTGCCACTTTGCAATAAGATTTTGACTGCAAATTATGGTGGATTTGAAGAAATATAAAGTGTTAGAGAAAGTTCCCGAAATATGATTAAAAATGTTTGAAAATTCCAAAATATAACTGTCATATTTTTATTTCCCAAATAGGAGTATTTACTGTCAAGTTTGAAAAATATTGTCATGTTTGAAGTCTGGTACTGCCAAAACATAGCAGTAATTAGTCCTATTTTGGGAATAAAAACATGACAGTCCTATTTTGAAATTTTAGAACTTTTTTATTCCTATTTCGGGTAATATTCTCAAAGTGTTATGGTAGTGATATACACTCTAATTGGACGCTTGCACTTTTCACCCCTCGGCTGGGCCATCAACGGTCACCTTTGGGCCTTTTATTTTATTTTTATATTTTCTCCTTTCGCCTGTGGGCTTTCATGCCCAAGCACTTGTACGCTTATCTTCACCTTTATAATAGAGCCCGTTTGGTAGCACAAAAATCGGCTGTTTTGGCTGATTCTGCTGAAATTTATGAAGTTTTGGCTGAAGTGGCTGCATTTGCTGATTCTGCTGATTTAAGAAAAAAAATTAAAAAATATTTTTTTAATAAAATAAAGAAAACATTATATGTAAAAATAACTAAAATGATCATCTACAGTAACTTCAGCCAATACAGCCAGAAAAGTAACTCCAACCTTACTTTTTCTGCTTATTACACAATTCAGCGCGGGAAAGCAAAAGTTACGTGTTTGGTGAAAAATTGGCTGATAAGTCTGATAAGCTGAAAAACAGTGTTGTCAAACGACCTCTAAATCGGTAAATGAACCCTGTCATTTACCATACCCGTAAGGGTGCTCTTTCGGGTCAAAAAAATATGAACTCTCTTATTTTTTTATCGTATGAACTCTCTTATTATAATACTGTTTGCATAGTTTTCTATGTTAAATTATACGTAGTTATATTGCATAATTTATATTGCTAAATTAAGAATGCTCACATAATTAATTTGTCTGATGTTGCATAATTTTCTTTAAAAAAAACACTCTAATTAACAGATATCCCAAAAAAGACATGACCCCAAAGTTTTCTCACTCTTCAACTCCGAGGAGGCTTTTTTTTGTACTAATAATCTATTCATGGAATTTATAGATACCGCCATTGATGGTTTTATTCTATGACTTCTTCCAAAGAAGGATCAAATCTTGTTTACTTGTTTTTCTTTCCTTTTTTAGCATATCCTTCTAATCCTCTTATAATATTTGTTCAAAAAAATGTCAATATTTTTAATTGAAATGAGACTCTAACATGTGGCCTCATTTTTGAGAGATCAATGATGCCATGAGACCACGATGTACTTGGGTATTTCTTTATGAAGACCTCAAATTATCTAAATTTTCTATCTTTGCTTTCCCTTCATTTGACATCTCAAATACCCTTCGTGTTTAAACTTTTTGTCTGGAAGTCCCACACAATATACTTTCTTGTCCTCAAGCAAATTTAGAGCTTTAATATCTCTACTCTTGTTATGTATCCTTTAGGTTGATATTTTATCATGGGGATTCTGTTGATGCCTAGTCCCTTACACGGTTACGCCTTACACTTCTATTATGAAACTCGTCTTCATATGGTGGTGCTAGAACTAGGAGATCGACAGAGGTATGTAAGTGATTTCAAACTTGTTCTCTTATGTGTGATGTCTTGCAAATTTTGGTGGGACATTGAACTACACTTTATGTTACTCCAAGTCTCCAATATTTGATTGTGGCTAACATTTCATTTATTTTATCATAAACGAGTTGTGTCTCTCATCTTTAAACAGTTAAACTTAAACTTAACATCTTATGATTTAATTTACTTTACTTTGTGCTCACTCCAAGGTGTAAGTTCAAAACACCAAGGATGTTTTACTTAAACAGTTAAACTTATTTGAATTCCAAATTAAATCAGAACATATCATACTTAAACAGATTAGATCGAACTAAACTTGAATAAACAAGATCAGATCGGATCAGATCAGACTTGAATAGTTCTAAAACACATGCACATAAACCAATCATCTATCACACCATACTATACTTGACTTAAACAGATCAGACCAGAAAAAAAAGTCCAATTGAAAACATCCTAATAATGAAATGTAGAGATAATGAAGAAAAATGCAAATAACAAATTTTGATTATTTTGTTCCTAATTAGATGGAAAAAGATTGCACCTATATATTATACACCCTAACAATTTTTAATTATGTGAGCCCAAAGTGGCATGTTTTTTAAAAGAAGGAAATATATTGACTTTTAAACCATATAAGTCATCAGGGTTAAATAAATTGAAAATTTTGTTTATACATGGTGTTTTACATGTTTTTATACAGAACTATATATCTCTAATTGTTTTTTAAACGGAAAACTCTTATATTAAACTTAATAAATCAAA